AGAATCCAAAAATGCAATAATATATAGGGTATTTCATTTAGAAAAACACAACTTTGATACTTTTAGGGCTTTTGGGACACTCTGTACATTACAAATTTTTTTAAAATGTGCACCCTATTGGCGTCTGTGGATTCATCAAATAATACTTTGCAAAAAACAAACGGGCTAGCCGCAAACGTCCGTGCCGTATAGCGTGAATAACCCTGTATACATACAATTGATGTTCACAAAATTATCGACACTCCATCCAACACCATTAATTCACTGCAACCTTTCAGGTTAGATCCACAGCGGATAACCTCAAATCACAAATGTAAATATTGTGTTTCTGCTGTTTTTGTTAGTTTCAGTTTGAAAAAATGGCTTTTTCTCTTTGGAACTTATTTGAGGCCACTATTCTATGCCTTAATGCCATATGTATCCTCAATGAAGATCGATTCCTCAATAAGAGTAAGTTCGATTTCCTACAAAATAGTCTGATTGGAAGCCCCCCTTGTTTATTCTTCTAGTAATGAGAGTAGTTTCTACTTTCTTGTAATTTATGGATGGGGGCCGAACTCCCGTTTTGCAGGCACACTGCCGGCTATTTTATCTGTGTAAACTCTTCCATTTTTGTGTCAGCTTTAAAGCTATTTCTATGCAAAGAAAGTTATAGAGTCAAATAACTGTGATTGTGCATAACAGTCAGTTTTGAATCTCAAGTGGTTACTTCTTGCAGTTGGCTGGGGCAAAACCTCAAACGTCCAAGGTTTTGGTGAAGGCCCCTCTACCAAAGCACAAATCTTCAATTTATTGCATTCCATCAGAACAGTCGCTAGAGGTAAGTTTCAGCCCAGTTTTCTTTAGTCGTTTTTGCACAAGCAAAAATTAAACTTAACAATTTTTTAGTTCCACTGATCCTCCTGAATGTGATAACAATATCATTGAAGCTGATACTCGGATAACATCGAATTTTATTATTTTTAAAATGTCTGAAAATAAATCCAAATATTGTATTTTCCCAGAAATTTATTTGAGGCAATAAATATGTGCTTTTACAAAATATTTTGATCGTTTATTGAATCCCATGAAATTAAGTTGTTCGTATAAACGTCTATTTTTTAAATTGCAAAATTGAGCTGATTCGTCACTAGACGTGAGTTATTTTGCCAAGTCTGTAGAAAGGAAATTATAAAAAATTGTTTGATTTTGTTGTAAATGAGTTTATATCGATTTTGACTCCGAGAACTAATTACACTTTGAAAAAGCTTTGTTGGTCTAAACCTTCGTATTGGGTTGACCATTTCCATTTTTTCATTTTTGGATTATAAAAACGATTTTTCTCGAGTATTTGCTGCACTCCATACAATCGCCCGTAAACAGATGGTATATTCGAAAAATTCATAAAATATTTTTTAATGGTTACAAGCAAATGAGATTTTGAAGGTCCAAGTTCCATTAGCGCTAAATTGGCGATACGCTTTAAGGCAAGTCGCCAACCTCGCAGTGTTATTAATACATTATTCATCAAGAACTCTTCAACTGTAATAGCAGTTTCAGTGCTTTACAAAATGTCTACATGTTTCTGCTCGCTTTGAATCTCATTGGCAAATCAATGTTATTTAACCACGCACGTCGTTATACTTAACTGACGAAATGATAGTAAAAAAAAACAAGAATAATACACGATATAAAACTTCCTGGAGGTTATATGATCACCTTGGTAGAAGGGGTTCGCGTTGGTATCAAAGAAATGGTAACCTGCGTTATCTTTGTAAACGAGAGAGAAAGTTTCCCGCGGAATAAACTGTTGAATAGTCTACCTGAGACGACGGTGAATTTTATGAGCCAGCGCTCAAGATCTTAATTGTTTCCGTCCCGTTGATTAAATAAGACTATGGAATTTCATCATTTCGTGGTAATCTTGTGCTTTGGTCATTTGGTCCGGTCGAATCTCACGACAGAAGTTCCGGATTTATCGCATAAAATCACCTATCGTGAGGACTCAAATTCGCAAACTGGTGTTCTCAGTGTAAACCGGAAAAATGTGATTCCGACAAATCTGCAGGAAGTTTTAAATTTTTACAACAGCAAATCGCTGGCAGCAATCTGGCCGAATTTTAAGCAAAACGTGTCCAGAGACTGCCAGAAGGATATGGATACCTACATAGAGGCACTCAGAAATGCTGATCATTGGGCTTTAAAAAGTAACTATTTTTACTCTTTTAATTATAAAGTTTTTTAATTATAATTTAGTGGCAATTTTTTTTTTCGCTATAAGCGCCCTTGGTGGTATATAAGAGGAAAATGTATACAGCAGAAATCCGCGGAGGAGTTTAAAGTGTGTTTACCAATAAAATTTGTAAATTATATAGATAATTAATAAACCGTTTTTTACCTAATTTGAAATATCTGGTAAAATTTAAATAAATTTGCATTTTTTCCCGATGTTTTCGGCTCCGTATCTTCTGAATAAATACTGTTTTTCGTGACACACGTGGGATTCGGCACATTAAATCGTTTTTAAGTGGGTTTAATTTTTATTACCTTCAGTTTGAAAAAAATCTCGGATGTACGAAATATATGATGATCTTTAGCAGACAGGTCAGCCACGAGTTCTGAAAAAAAATGTCTTCAATACACCTGAGAAATTTGTTGATTAGCGAACCATTCGGATTTCCAAATGCAACAGGCGCACTTATTTCAAGTGAAAACTTTTTGTTTGTTGCCGGTTTAGTATCAATTAGAGGGTCGCATTTCTGCAGGGGAAACTGCGATCTACAAATATTGAATCCTTCATTTAATTTCATGTGAACAGGTTTTGGCCTGCACTTCCAGGTCCGGTTTCCGACCTATTAGCTCTCGTCAGCTGGGTTGAGTTTGCAGCAGATGGTAAGTAGTAAATTATCAGAGGCCATAATGTCTTAATGACTACGAAACCAGTGCAATAAAATTTTTCATGAATTTTCATTTTGTTTGACCAACTGGGGAAAACGGGATTAACATCAAACTTTGCATTTGATGAGCGGCAAATGTGGGGCTAAAAAGCGCTTTTAAATCAGTAATACTGAAGCTGAAGGCATAGAAGACGTTTAACCGCGCGTTCCATGGAATCTATTGCATAAAACTTTATCATCGGAATGGACAATTTTAACGACAAAGTTTGCAATCAGAAACACACGTAGAATTTAATTATTTACAAAAAAAATGGCAATTTTTTCGGTAAAAAGGGGAGGCTTATTGTTAACAAGCAGCCGCCACTGCAAAACTGTATAATTTTGTAAATAATCTCCACTTTTTGCCTCAGCATAAAATAGCATTAGTCTCCTACCAGAAAAAAAAATTTTTTTGCAACAGCTTTCACATTAAATTCACCATGCTATTGAAAAATTTTAGAAAATTACATTCGTGAAAAAATACCACTCTTCAAGTCTATGAGAAGGCTGGAGTAACTTATTTCCTTCCAAACATTTCCAGGTGCTTTCATTAATTATTTAGTCTTTATGATTTTCATAAGTTTCAAAATGATTGTGTATTTGCAGTATTTCTTAACGCGGAATTTGTTTAGATTATATTTTACTAGTCTGCTCTGCCCTTTTTATTCTATATTTTCTCTGTTTCTAGTCTGCTAAACTGCTGCTTGCTTCCATTTTTATTAATTTGCTTTTAAAAACTTCTTGTATTTAAGTCCAAAATTCCTTTTGCTCTTCCTCGCAATTGTTTCCAGTTTGACTTCCAAAGTCTTTTAATACTTAGTACATTTTTAACGAGAAATTTTTGATTAAACTGTAAATTTAAATGTTCTTATTTACTCGAAATATTTTTCTCAAAGAGAGAGCCAAGTTTAGTCTCAATTTTTCATCGTTGAATCATATAATAGGCGTTTAGTGTAGACATTACCATTCTAATTATTGTAAAACCGACGAAACTTTCAGTTTACTTATTTATCTGTGACGATCCGAAGTCCAAACAATGAATAATCAATTTTTTCCCTTTAAAAGCATTTTATTGGCGTTGATAAGCGTTAATTAATCTAATGGACAGGATTGAAGTTTTTCTCAAATTTTCATGTAGGTGTTTCCATATAAAGCAAGGTGAGAAGAAGCAGTTTTTGTTTTGAATTGTACACTATTTTATTGTGTATTTGAATTATTATAAGTCGAAATTGGGCTATAAATCAGGTTTTTTAAATAAAAACGAATGCACATTTTTCCATCCAACATTTTACAAAACTTGCATCAGTAGAAAACAATTACAAAACGTACCAAATTTCGTTACTGATGCAAAAAGATCGCCCAAGGCTTATTTATTAAGTAAAGAAATGCAGAATTTTGCAAAAAAAAACAAAAAATGTTATTGATGATGGAAATCCGTGTGGGATCAGCATTGACCTCAATTGGTTTTACCACAATTCGTTGAAGACACAGAATACAGAAAACAATACAGAAAGTTTAACAAATTGAATATCGACTCAATAATTTAGTATTTGTGGAAGCGATTACAATTACAAAGCAAACAAACGTACAAAATTGACCAAAAAGTCAACATTCTACTTAACACCAGGGTTTTTAGCCTCAAAAGTTTTGCAGACAGTTTGCGATCTACGATTCTTTTCGCAAATTTTGCCTCTGGGCCCATTTTTCTTTGAATGACTTTATTTTCAATTTGCTAGACTTTGAAGACAACAAACCAAACAGCTTTAAATTAACGATGTTTTAACTGCTGGATTTTTAATAGTCCGAGTGGAGCTGATTTTTTTCGCCTTAGTGGCAGGAAAATGCTTTGAACATACCAAACTGCCTCAAACTATTGAGGCTAAAATACGATGATTTAAGCCACGCCCCACTTGCTTCATTGGTGTTGGTTTTCCCTAATTTATTTCGTTTTTAAGACGAACGTTTCCCATCACCCAAAAATTACAAAATTAATTTTGTTAGAAATGCCGCCACATTCATCGGTTTGCAGGGAACTTTAGAAAACCCATTTCAGCTTCGAATTTGGCACAAAAAGCAAATAATTTTATTCAGTTTTTTACCGAAAGTAATTAGGATTATCTTGAAAAAACGACCAGAGAGCAAAAGTTTACAAAAAATTAATTGAAAAATTCACCGCCCTCATCGCTCTGAAGTATTTTAAAGGTTCAAGTCATTTCAGTTTTAACAAAGTTTCTATTAAGCAATTATTTCTACCTTTTGCAGCTTCGAGTCAGGACAAAACCGTAATAATTATTTCTGGGTGTTTTTCCAAAAATATTTCCCCGAACTGAAAAAGCGAGAGTTTTTTCCTTCTTGTGCAGAAAGATTACTACGGCGTAGAAAAAAATAATCACTCTCTGAAAGAATTTCGTCATTCCTCAAACCGTCAATTCCAGTTTGAGTTCGCCCAGAAGACCCAAATTTTCAAATCTCTCCATGGAAAAATCCATATAGGTCATGCCAGGAGATCGAGAAGGCCAATGCATGCTTACATCCAGCTATTCATATGGATGTTTTCAAGAAAACATCAGGATATTGAAATATTATGATAATAATAAATATAAGAGTTGATTTCAGCTGTTTGTTTAAATGACTTCCATAAATTTGTTGCGCTCTCGACTCTTTTTCTGTCGTCCTTTGTGCGCTACCATTTTTGGAGTAATTTGCGAAATAAACTTCAAGTAAAATGAACCTATTTCCCTATTTCCAACCGGAATGTTAATTGGAACGGGTCGCATACAATATTTTCATGCAAGTTACGCATTCATGCGATCGAATTACATCATGATCTGAATGTTCCAATTTCTCGTGGCCGAATTAAAGTGAATGGGTTTACAATTTGTCGATGTTCTTTTCTCAATTAGCAGCAAAAAATGTCTCATCTAATCTCAGTTGGAAACTTAAAAAAACCAAAAGCTCAAGTTGACTGTTGATTGTATGTATATGTATGTATGTAGGCACAATCATATCGAAATCTCTTGCAAATTCGACTCACGAAATGCATCGTCACCGGTTATATAACGAACTTTCACTGGTATTTTGCGATGTTACCCAATAATGGAACAGCATATTCACACTTTTTACCGGCAACTTTGGTTCACCGTAATGCTACAAATCGTTGCATGCGACTTGAAGTCTAAATAATGATGAAGATTTTTACCCGGTGAACTAAAAAATCTATCCAAACCAACTCAAGAACAATTATTTAAAATCTGCCTGGTGGAATAGTTTCTTAGATGATTCTTTGAACGTATTGCGATATGTTTAATTTGGGGCTTTGATATTACGTGGCGCAAATTACAAAACGATTAGAAACTTCGTGATTGGTTACTCGGAAAGGATGAACCATAATATTATACACGCATTAATGCGCGATATTTCTAGAGAAAGTAAAATTATTTGGAAACCTTTTATACGTTGTGCATACAAACGTGTCACCAAACTACAAATCTAATTCATAAGAAAATTAATGCAATTATTCTGGGCAAAACTTGGGCCCATTAGGACACGTTATGCAACAAATAATCTCCGGTATCTCCGAGAGAGCGCTCGTCCTGAACACGAAAGAAAGTGAAAACATTAAGTAAGATGAATGTGTTCTTGTCCTAATAACCTCGATTTTGGGATGTCCGATCCGAAAAAATGTATTTATAGTTTTGAAATACTTCGCAATCAGACATAGTGAGGAAACGGAAGAATCGTTCTAAGCCTAAGCGATGCAAACAGGTTTAAATTGTACATTACTGGCGCCAATACATAAAGTTAACAGCAGATAGTCGTTTAAAATTGCATCATCTGTGTATCATTCGATTTGCAATTCAAAACATTTTAGGGCAACCGAAAAATCTTCCAGAGAACTATTTTTAGGTGCCTGGAAAATCTCCGAAAAGTTACTTTTGCTTGGCATCGGTAAAATGAACCGTTTTTCCGAAAAATTTAATTTCAATCAAAAAAGTTCACTTTTGAGTCTGATGGAAAACCGTAGTAAATTTAGAAAATAAAATTCATTAGTCCGATTGTCATACTCTAAAAAAGATTGATTTTGGCAAAGTTGACTCAAATAATGGACGTTTTCCCGAAAATGGTGCATTTCGTCGACATGAAACACGAGAACTTATTTAGTTGAAGCTTCAAACTATCTAAAAATAGTCTTCCTGCGCTTTTATCATACAGGGTGTTACAATAACCGATCATTAATGTGTACAAGATAGTCTTTGGCGAACACAAAGCTGGGTTTCGCCCTGAAATAAATTGGTTGATTTTGGTTAAAATGTCTGGCACTTTTAATATCCGCTAACAATGATGTTTTTCCTCTTGCGATTTTCCAGTTAAAAATAAAAAATTCATCAATCATAACGTTTTCGCTTAAAATGAAGCCAACAATTCCTTCCTATGAAGGTCATGAATAGAGTATTCTTTGGCTTCAATTACTATTGGAGGCAGAACATGGCAGGTGATTGATTACAAAATTAACTACGTACATTATGTAATACACTATATGCCTATATTTGAATATTTTGCCAGCGGCAAATGACTGCGATAAAACAACTTAATACTCGCTTAATAACAGGTAGGGAATATTTATTTTTATTACCTATGCTTGCAATAATTCTTCTAAATCAATCACTTTTATTTATCGCACGGAAAATGTGTACAATACTCATATGTGTTACGTAGTGATTAAATAAGACATTTAAAATACAATTTTCACGTACATTATATCAATAATTGCATGTGTTCAGCGTTGCGGTAACGGACGGAAAATATTTCAAAAATCTACTGCACAAACCGTGGAGATTGAATTTTCCCTTATAATTTCCGAAGAAGAATAACGTAAATTCCAAAGGCCGGAAAAGTAGCAGGCTGACTAGAATTTCGTTGTAATAGTTCAATTAACGATTCATCTCCCTAACTCTGCAATGTTCCCTGAAAATGCGTGAAAATCGAAATGTTTTCCACTTACAGAACACAACAAGCCCTACGAAATTTGTGCAAAAATTATCCTCCAAGTTTTCAGAGAATTGAGAAAATAAATGCCAAACTCACGATGCAAAAGCAACTACAGAAATCAAAAGCACATTCAAAACCTTCTCAAAAATTGCCTGATGATGACCGAAAACCAAAACTTTTGTCAAGTATAACGGGGACTTTGTCCTATATTATTCATGCAGCAGTTAATTCTTAACTTGGCTAGTTTCTGAACAAATAACTATGAAACTCCGGTCGTGCAAAAACGGGCGCGGTATTTAAACAAAATTCCAAAAAAATCCTGAGGATGATTTATAAGCAAAACTTTTTCCGCGTAGAGAAGAAAGCTAGTCCTACGAAATGTATGCAAAGGCAACCATCCACTTTTTTTAGATATTGAGCAAATAAATATCAAATTTAAGCTTGCATAAAGAACCGCACTATTCTATCGCACATTTAAGAACATTTTCAAAATAGCCTGATGATGATGACAGAAAATCGAAACTTTTGTCACTTATAAAACGAACTATGTCCCACTAAATTTATTCTGAAGTCGATCCTTAACTTGATTAGTTTCTCAGCAAACATCTGAGAAGCTGCGGCATTAACAAGCAAAAATTTTAAAAAATTCCTTGAACATTTCCTGTCAAATTCGAAACATTTTCCGGTTACAGAACAAATCGTGCTCTACTAAATTAACACAAAGGCGACTATCAAACTTTTCTAGATATTGGGCACATAAATGGCAAACTTAACAGAAACAACATGCACAATTATTGCGCAAATTTAGAAAAATCTAGCAAATAGCCTGGCGGTTACTTTAAACCGAAACTTTTGTCCCTCACAAAACGGACTACGCACTAAAAAATTAATGCGAGATTCTATCCCTAACTTGACTAGTTTCTGGGAAAATAACTGTGAAACTGCGGCTTGCATAAACAAGCGCAAAATTGAAGCAAAATTGTTAAAATCCCGAAAATTTCCTGAGGATGGGTTAAAATCAAAACGTTTTACACTCAGAGAACACATATAACCCTACGACATTTGTACAAACGTGACTCTCCAATTTTTCCTTGATATTTAGAAAAAAATGTCAAACCTAAGCTTGCTTAAACAACCGCACATTTTTTTTTTTAATTTAAGAAAATCCTGAGAATTATCCGATCATGATTGAAAATCGAAACTTTTCTTGGCATACAGAATTTCCAGGAGCATTTTACCCAACAAAATTCTCCTGGAAGCGAACATCCAGCTTTCCTGCTCTCAGAGAAAATAAATTCCAAACTTGCATCCTGCATAAACAACCACAACATTTTCTCAATCTCAAAAAAGTCCCAACTGTGACCGTCATTGGTTAACGATGTCTTTCAACCCAAGCTGAAATAAGCTGTTATTTTTTTGTTCGACCTTTTAGCAATCAATTGTTCAATAAATCATTGCCCAAGCAAGCAATAAACGACAGATAAAATGCAGAAATTGAAGTTAACCAATGCAATGCTTTCAAACCATTAAATAGTTGCAAAGTTTTATTCAGTTTTTTTTCTGAAATTTTGCAACTTTTTCAACAGCAGGTATGGCCAGCAAAGGAGAACTTGATTTGTGGTCTTGAAACTGTTTAAACCTCAATGGATAACGATTTTCGGTCAAGTTCAAGATAAGTCGATAAATTTCCAGTTCCTGATCAAATAAATAAACTTGATCGTGTAGTTAATTTTAAAGTTTGCCAGACGATATTCGTCTTACCTGAAGGATATCAACAAAAATATACGTTTAGTTGTTGATGGGTGGAAGGTTCTTCCTGAATGATTTTCGAAGTTTTGATACATCTTAAGGCTAAAGTCTTAAGTAGCTACTGGTTGGATATTTAAATTATTCTTTTTTGTGTTCGATTCTCGAATAGAAGACAATAAAGGTTTTGCTAATATAAAAAAATGTTGCAAGTATATAAAATATTTTTTATAATGTAACCAGCAGATTGTAAATTAAAATAAAACATTGAGTGAAATTGCATTTTTGGTTTATTCCCAATTTGCATGCTAAAAATACAAAATAATAGTTTTACAAGCGCCTTCAAATTGTTTTTTTTTAACGTTGAGAGCTTCTTCCTCTTGTATTGAGATCTTTATTTTTCCAAATCTGCTTCCAAAAACGCCCTCCCGAAAATTTTGCTCTTAGAAGAAAGTTCATGACATTTTGGGACATTCACATTCGGAAACCACAAGAATCCTTGTATAAGAAAAATCTTTCCTTATACAGACATACAACTCACCTGCAGGATTTGAGTCGCTGAAGGCTCAATTATCCAGGCAGGTTTTTCTATCTAGATCCTGAAAACGGTTGGATACGCTACGAACCGAAACGTTGTGTTCTCAATATTTTTCGATTGACTTGACTCACGATTTAAAACTAATTTGTTAATTTTCAGTGGATGATGCGAGCGGAAAATACTCATCCGGATGGTTTTGGGGCAATAACTATTGGCTGGGATCGAAAAGCTTATGCGAAAATATCGAACCAAACCCCAACGGATTCATGGCAAATGTGAGTATGTTCGGGCGTCCATCAGCTAACGATACAAAATTGCACGATTTTAGAATCGTTCCAGGGTGGTGCGAAGTGCGAATGTTCCAAGTCCAAGTCAAGCGCTTGGATATCGGGAAGGGCCGTTGGATCAGGCTTCAGTTCCTCCCTTTTCTGTCTCATTTTTTGTGCTGAAGCTCGATGTTAATGATAGTTTTTCCCAGGAAGTATGTAGGATGAATTCGATATGTTAATCTTTGTTGTTCACATGGGTTTTTCTAATTTTAGGACCGTGTGCTCTCTGTAGGATTGTGCTTGCCTCAAGTATGTCTGGACGAAGACGTTGAACTGATAATGCAGGAAACTTCTGCAGAATCTGATAGAGTAGCCGTGGACGTGCTTTCGATAAAATCTAGTCATAATCGTTACATCATGTGGCAAGATCAAACGTTTCTGATACTTTGGTAAAAAACTATTTCTTCCTTTGAGGCATTTGCACTTTTACACAATTTTCGTTTCATTCAGTGTTATCACCGCAATGGCAGCCTGTTGTTTATCGGTTGGAACCTTATTCGACTACTACCTAGAATACCAGAAGAACCAAAACGTTACCACCATCACCCAAAGGTTCTCCGTTCCCAGCTTGTCATCCACCAATGGTAAGTGACCTGCACATAAACCTTTCTTGTCGAAATTCACTGTTTTTCCTTTCGAGATGCATGCCAAATAGTTACTTTGAAAACATTTATTTCAATCAGTTACGCGTTGTGAAACAAATATATTTATAGGAAAATCTGGAATTTATGTTGTAAATACAAACGACGGTAACAACAATAATGGAAACGCGTCTCCGATTGAACCATCTACAACTTCGCGCGAAACTGTTACAAGTATGTACTTAAAGTAATACCGTTTTGGTGTTGGGCCATTTTCGTCGGTCTGCTAGTCTAACATTTTAATGCATTTAACACATCCCTCAGGGTGGGATACATTGAGGGTTTCTATCATTATTTTAGCCAGGAAATAACGACAGTTTTATGCGTTCTTACTGTTTGTTCTCTTTTATAATTTATTTTTAAAACTTGTTTAGTACCGCAAATCTTTTAAAACACCACATGAACTTGCAACTCTTTTCTTATTTTTGACTTTTATATGTTTTCAATTTTTTCTCGAACACAGAATAATAAAGTAGTAGTTTGCAGGTAATCGATTTGTTTTTACTTCAAAAAGTCGAAAAAACCTATAAAACAGGAAATTGTCAACCATCCTGTTTCTTGAAAAAACCACTTTTTTCTTATTTTTAATTGTATTTTTGACTTATGTATATTTTAATTTTTTGAGATGTAAAATATTATGAAAATTTAATACTTTTTCAGTTATTCGGCTTTAACGACGAAAATTCGTGCTTTCATGGTGATGGTAGATCGAAATTTTCTCCGTCGTCTTTAGACACAAAATTTTCAAATTTGACTGGAAAATCGATCGTTAAAGCCGATTATTAAAATGATAAAACTATACAATTTTTGTCCCCTTTATCGACTGGCTAGAGCATATTTTCATCAAATAATCCGCTATTGAACTTTGTCGACCTGTAAAATTAAGATTTTTTCGACAACATTTTGAAAATTCTTCTTTTTTCCAAAATACATATTTTCAATTTTCCCGACTACGTTCCATATAACATTCGCGTTTAGACAATTATCTAGGCGGTTAATCTTTTAATTTTGCATTTCTTCCTAAGGTTTATTTACCGCAATGTTCTTGTTGTTTTTGTTTGTTCATAATCTCATTCGAATAGGCCTGGGTAACTCAGTTAATTTTTAGGAGTTGGCGCAGTGCTGCGCAAATGGCTTGGTGCGCCAACCCAGCGCACCGGCGCAGTAACTCAGTTCCGTTGCTGGGAAAATGTTGATAACTTTTTTCACTTGTTTTTACTTTTATTTTAAGGGCCAATTATCGATAATATTGTTAAAATTTCTTAAAAATTTCAATCAAAACACGAACAGAATAAGCGAAAGTTTGTAATAGATTCCACAAAATTTTTTTTTGCTTTACTTTTTATTCAAAAGCGCTCTATTTTGTAGAGTTTTACTTAAAATACTGACGATCGGAGGTCTGTTGCCCGAAAAATTACAAGATAAATTTATAGTTTTGTAAAAATTTTACAGAAACTTTTTTCAGTGTCGAATTCGAGAGAAAAACAAAAATAAATTCTTCCCCATTTCCCCGAAAACCCGTAAGGTTTTCCCCAAAACCGATCACAAAACTAAAAATTTTTAATCGAACACGCAAAAAACAATTATTTTTTGATAATTGTCTCCTTTTCTGACAATAATGGGGTCTTTTCAGCCAAAACTGACAAAATTCATTTTGCTACAAAATTGGCCGCATTCATCAGTTTCCACGGAACTTTAGAAAACCCTCGGATTTGGCACAAAAACCAAATCATTTTATTAAATTTTTTATCGAAAGAGCAAAAATTTCCAAAAAAATATTTTGAAAATTTGCGGTCCTCATAGCTCTAAAGATTTATAAAGTTCCTTTAAATTTTCAGGTCATTCCAGTTTTAAAAAGATTCGATTAAGTCATTCTTCGATTCCTATTCTCCTTCTATCCATTTCTACCCAAGTACCCAGTTTTACTTAAAATACCAATCTTCAGGTATTTTCTGTGAAAAATTGTAAGATAAATTTTATTGTAACATTTTTGCAACTTGCAACGAGGACAAAACCCTAATAACTATTTCTGGGTCTTTTTCCAAACATATTTCGCCGAACTGAAAAAGCGAAAGTTTGTAATCATTTAATGGGAAAACTCTTGCAAACTGCGGTTTCTTCACGTTTAGGTCAATATTCCTAAACAAGACTGACTCTAAACAGAAAAATCGCGTTTTTTTTAACGTTTTACTGTAAAATACGGGCACACTAAATCTTTTATGCAAAAAAATTAAGAGATCGATTTAGCAAGAAAACTCGTCGACTTTCTTTGGACTCAGTCCTGTTGCTGAGAAAATCTAGATGACTTTTTTTAGTTGTTTAAACAAAGTAGTAAAACGTTACTCAGAAAAAATGTTGATGACCTTTTTTTAGATGTGAAAATTCCAGTCTCGGGTCTCGTAAAGCTTTAATAAATGACTTATAACTCATTAACCGATGAGTTATAACTCGTTAACTCAGACAGCGGCAACAACTCAATAGCGCAACTCAACACAGTGTTACCTAGGCCTACATTCGAACTTACCTAAAAATTATGATTTTCAGATTTAGTCAAAATAAACGTAAAAAACGATTTCATGGCCGAACAAACCTGACTATATTTTTGAAGCAAGTTCTAACTGCCATTTTTTTACATCGTCAAAGTTCTACATAACAAATTTTAAATTTTATGTGATTTTTTTATGTTTTCTGTTTCTCATCAAGTAATCTGATAGCACTTGATGAAAGTGTAAAACCTGTTTCTTATTTAACATTTTCGGGCACAAATATAACTGTAAATTAAGTATAACATATTTTTTTTTGATTAATCACTAACATTATCATGTAGTTTGATGAGTTAAGAACTGACTTTCGAGACTAAATGATTTGATTGAATTTTGATGCGGTTATTTAATAGATGCTCTCATTTTCAAAGTTCCACTTTCCTTTTCTCTAGGTAAAATCAGCAAATATTTATAGATTTTCTGATATGGATTTGTTAATCCGCCGATGTTTCTTCTGTCTTTAACCCATTGAAGGTTTAAATCAATCACAAATTGCTTTGCAACCACTTCTGAAGATGCGTTTGCAACTGTTGGGTAAACTTCAACTCAACTGTAACTAATAAGTTTTTAACTAAAATCTGTGTTTTGTTAATAAAATTGATAATTTTTGTGTAAAAGATACACTTTAAAGATGGAACACTATAAGGAACATTTATCAGCTTTAAGACAAGAAAAATGACTATAAAACCCCCTATTTTTCATTCACTATTTCATTTTTCTAGGATTAATTATTAGGGAACTGATATTGTCGTTCTCAGTGCGAGCGAATCTGAAAACAATCTGCGACCAGACGGTGGGAAGCGATACCATTCCAGTTCTTCATGGATTAAAAGCTATCAGCATGGCTTGGGTAATATTAGGACACACCTGCATCGTGGCATTCAAATACTCCGGTAAATTATAAAATTATTAAACCCTAGAATAAAAAAATATTTTATCCTTTATTTTTCAATGTTCCAGACAACATGGACTATAGGAAAGTGGTGCAAAAGGAATTGTGGTTTCAGACAATATCGAACGGAGCCTTCAGTGTTGATACGTTCTTTTTTGTCAGTGGTTTACTCGTGTCGTTCCTGTATTTCAGAACGAATGCCAAAGGAAAGCTGGATCCGCTTTCGAAAGGGCGAAATGGATTCGTGGCCGGTCTTTTACATTTTCTTGGTTTAATGTTTTATCGATTTGCTAGGTAAGAAAACATACATCCGTTAAGTGTGTTAGTGTGCAAAAAATTACTGCAAAAAAACCAGGCGAGAACTCTAATATTGAAAACAAAATTATTTTTGTTTTCGATTATATTATAAATCAATAAATTTTCGTCTCTTATAGACAGCAAATTTGAAGCCCTGATATTTTCACTATTTATTGATATACGATTTTTTTGAAAATGCTCGTTCATTGAAGATTCATTCACGCTTTTACATATTGAAGATTCAAACGTGATTTCAAAATTATCTCAAACGTGAAGCCCAAAATCAATAAAATTTTGTTTACACATTGACTAGGATCTTTATATACGTAATACGCAAACAAAATTTAGAGCTTCCATAGTTCCCACTATATAAGTTTTGGATCTTTTTAAGCGTCCGCACATTGAGATGCAACAGAATGCGGATTGAGCCGGCATAAAGACTCACAATCTGCTTACATCCAGATAAAATTTACAGCTTAAATCTTCACTATTTAATGAGTTATTATTTTTTGAAATTATCTCACGTTTAAGATACATCACAACCCAAACTTAAAAATGTGTTTTAATCTCTGTATTAGTTTCAAAATTTAAATCTCCTTGGGAAATATGGTTTACTCCATGGTCACTCCCTCTCTGAAGTCCTTTTTTCTCTGCACTTCTTGTGTGGGTTTACCGTTTAGAGGTTTCCCAAGAACGCAACTTTGGAATATTTTCACCGATGAATTCAACATTTAACAATTATGGAAATGATCAATTTATTTCAGACTTAGCGTACCCTACGTGTTCTCTTTGGGTGTAAACATTGTGGTGATGAAATGGTTCAATTACAACTCAGTCTTCGAGCCACCAACTATGGACCATGTGAATTGCCCTGATTATTGGTGGCGAAATGTTTTGTACATTAACACTCTTTTTCCTGTGAATGAAATGGTAAGCAGACACTTAATTCAACAGGGAAAGTTATATTTACCAGAAATTATTAGATTTTCCTACTTTACAGTGTATGCTTTGGAGCTGGTACCTTTCAGACGATACACAATTCTACGCTGTGGGAGCAGTCATTTTGATTTTAGCCGCAAGGTAAGTTGGACCAGTAATTTTTGGCAAATTCCCATTTTTAAAAAAATCGCCGAAAGAATTTTGCTCTTAATGTTCTCTCGCTTAGTTTGAGAATTTTTGCGTCTGTTGTAGGTTTTACTTTTCCTTCCTACGCACTACACACTTAATTTTCAAAAAAAAATTGGTAGATAATTAGCGAAGTTTGAGATTTTTCAATACACAAAACTTGGTACTAAAAGCTGGCAAAGTTTCATTTAATTAGGAAGAGATTTTCTGCGATTGAATTCTCATGCATTGACAACCGAAGCTGCAAATAGACCACAGAGCATGGAACATTCCATTTTCAAAAAATTATAACGCGAACAGCAGGAAACGTTAAGAAACACTTGTTATACCGTTTAATAGAGAAAGTCTCGCTCTAGAAGTGCAGAAAATTGCACTAATTTTGTGATTTTCTATGATTTTTCTCGAATGCATAAAAAAATCTTCAACAGGACAGAGCAATATTGAACTCAATAATTTTCAAAAATCCTCAGTTGAAAACTGGTACCTGCTTAAACTGTGTATTTGATCCTGATTTCATAGAGAAAATGTGACACTATCAACTGAAAAAGTTTAAAAAGTTCCATTTAATTAGAGATTATCTGCGATTTAATTCTCATGCATTGACAACCGAAGCTGCGAATAGACCACAGAGCATGGAACATTCCATATTCAAAAAATTATAACTCAATCAGCAGGAAACGTAAAGAAACACTTGTTATACCGTTTAATAGAGAAAATCTTGCTCTAGAAGCGCAGAAAATTGAAGTCGTTTTGCGATTTCCTATGATTTTTCTCAAATTCATAAAAAATCTTTAACAGGGTAGAAAAATAGTGAACTCAATAGTTTTCAAAAATCCTCAGTTGAAAACTAGTCAAGCTCAAACCGTGCTTTTGATATTGTTTAATAGAGAAAACGTGGCACTATAAACTGGGGAAGGTTCATTTAATTAGAGATTTTCTGCGATTGAATTCTCATGCAATGACAACCGAAGCTGCAAATAGACCACAGAGCATGGAACATTCCATTTTCAAAAAATTATGACTAGAAAATTACGAAACTTAAAGACACACTTGTTAAACCGTTTAATCGAGAAAATCTCGCTCTATAAGCGCAGAAACTTGCACTCATTTCGCGGGTTCCTCTAATTTTTCTCGAATTCATAAACAAATCTTCAACAGGGCAGAAAAATAGTAAACTCAATAATTTTCAAAAAATCCTCAGTGGAAAACTAGTAAAGCCCAAAATGTGGTTTCGATATTTTTTAATAGAGAAAACTTGTCCCTTTAACTGGGATTGTTTCATTTAAGTAAAAAATTTCTGCAATTTTTACCTGTTGCCAACTGCCTCTGCAAATAATCAACAAATTTCTAATTAAAAACTCAGGAAAGCTAGACAAATCGTCGCTGCGCCATTTAATAGAGGACACTTGTCTATAAGCCCGATGTCACTAAGTTAATGATTTTCAGTGATTTTTTTTCGCTGAAAACTATGCAAAGTCCAATGTAAGTAGCTAGAAAATGCATAACTGAAAAACAGTCGAATATTGACAGGCACCGGTTAGCCCATATAATAGAGAAAACTTGCCTCTCTCTTTAAATCTTTAGACGCTCGATGAACTGAAAAATGTCTTCGACCTGAATCAGAAGCAATAAGGCATAACAAATACCAGAGCCGCAAATCATCAAGAGCAGACCGAATATTTCTAAGTTTCAATATTTCAGTTCAAATATTTCTAAGTCGAAAACTATAAAAGCTAAAACCCGGCTAAACTTGGATCCATAAACCACAAAAGTGCCAGGAAATTCGCAAATTTCTCCGAATTTTCACTCATTAAACTCTTGATCTGCAACACAATAAGTCTCAACTGGACACATTGTGTCACAACAAATTCAGTTCGGCAAAGAAATTTTGGCTCTGTAAACTATACAAATAAAACTGAGATTGATTTTTGCTGTTTTTTGCCCAGAGAAGTTTACATCATATCTAAATATTCCTAAGTAAACATCAGCCAACCCTAGTCCCCTGCTTCTTACGTAGTTAAATAGAGGAAACGTGACCCTAGAAGCCCTGAAAATGTTGTTGACTAAGTGATTTTTCACAATTTTTGCCATTCCAGTCAAAAAACCATCGGTAACGGTTACGCCGGCTCGTTTAAGAGCGCAAATTAAGCAATCAGAACGAAACAGTGACTGAATATCTGAGCGCAAAGTGCCAAAAATTGCAGGGCTTTGCGACCTCTTTGTATTCCATTTTAGCTCAGATTGAAGTAAAAATGATCTAACACTTTCTGTCTTCAAATTTCAGTCACTTTAAGACCGCAGCAGTGTTATTGGCACTTTTCTCCGCTAGTTCCTGGATAACAACTGGCTTTATTGCCTACAGCAACAGTCACGTTCCAGGAGCCGATGATCCTCTGGCTTTGTTTGACAAAATTTACGATAAACCCTGGACCAGACTGGGACCTTACATGGTCGGCATGTGCGTTGGATGGCTCCTGTTCAAGAAAGACTGTAGAATATCCATGTCCAAGGCAGGATTTGAACAGAACTCAAACGCCGATTGCTAAATAATTGAACTTTTCAGTTGTGGGTGGTGATTGGATGGGTGTCCTCCTTCGGTCTACTCCTAGCGCTGGTTTATGGATTGTATGAAGTTCATCTTTCTCCAATAGCTGGGGCCGCCTACAGCTCGCTCAGCCACACTGCATGGGCTGTAGGCCTGGCATGGATCGTGGTCGCTTGCGTAACTGGCTATGGAGGTATAAGTAGTGTGCCTTTGAAACATTTTCCAGGTTTAAATTGTGTGGGACTTTTGCAGGTATGATCAATAAACTCCTTTCGCTGCCGATTTTGTACCCATTCAGCAGAGTCACCTATTGCGCCTACCTGGTGCATCCTTTGCTGATCAGATTCATGGTTATGACTATGGACAGTCCCGTCCATTTGGGGAGAGTTTCCACTGTTATCATTTTCCTGGGACAAGTTCTGGCCTCATATATCATCTCTTTTATATTGTCCATCGCCTTCGAGGCGCCGGTCGTTTCAATGTTAAGAATCATTTCGAAAGTTGTTGCTCATAAAAGGCACACATCTAGCAACTTGTAAGGTGGCACAACGCTTTTTAACTTTATCCTACGCTCAACAGAACTGAGTCGATTCTCATTTTCTACCTACTTACTAATGGAACATGTTAGGATTTGATGATCTGCATATGGAAAAGTACTAGTTAGGATATTTTTTAATTTATTTTAGTTTTGTAGAGTTTGAACAGTCTGAAGGAAATGTAACGAGTATATTTATGATACCTACATGAAAAACTCATTTGAAAAATCTAAGCATTTTACACAGGAAAACAAAGGACGTAGCAAAGTGCAACACAGTTCAATTAACTTTGGCATGAAAACAAGGTGAATTAGGATGTTTTTGCACCTATAGGAGGTTATTTTTCCTTTTGAGTACCATATAAGTAACGTAAAAATGAAATAGCCCGGGCATAAGCAAATAGCCAAAGATATTAGATTATACTGGGCCCGTTTCATTCTGTATATATTTATTGCTTGATACGTTTTGTGTAAATAAAGAGCAATTAGTAATCTTGCCAAACAGCGTTTTGTTTCAACAACTGTCCCTAAAAGCTTGAACTCTCAAGCCCATGCAGAAAATCAAATGTGCCCTCATTCGAAAGTGTTCCATATTAGTGAGTTTCCAAGAGTGAAAAGTGGTGGAAAACATCGGTAAGAAAAGTTGCCAATAAAACTATTATCTATAAAGGGGGCCCATTTTAAACAAGACAGATTAAGGTCTGATATTTTACCTAAAATACTCTTCTAAATTAAAATATCATACAAATTGTGCCTACGTGTCCCGTGCCTAGAGGGCGCCTAGTGACCTCCTAGTTTCTAACTTCATAACGCTGCCACTATGATAATTAACCTAACATTTGGCGATAGTAATTTGTGTTCGTAAATAAACAAATCCGGTTTTTGTGTCGCGTTTTTGAAATTATTGTGGTTGTTTCGAACTTTTATGAATTTATAAAACTGACCAGTCATGAGCCGACGTAAGAAAGTCAAGGTAAGAAGACAACTTTTATTAATAGGGATTAATTTGGTTATTTTATCCGAGACGAAGTCTTGCCTCTCAAAATTTTAGTATTTTTTATAGTACCGTGTAGCTTTGATTAGAGATTGATTGATTTGATATTTATATCTAGAAATTATATGAGGAATTCTCCATTCCTTTGGGGTTTTTTCTCCATTTCCGCATCTTTCATATGGAATTTTTAACATTTGTGTTAGTTTGGATTGTCTGTATCTTGGGGGACATATTCCACTTTCTCGCGACCTTTCTGTTTGATTTCTTATATTATTCTTGTCAGTCTACATCCTTCTTCTCTAGGAATCCTTCGCATATTCGCTTTTTCTCTTTAATGTGTTGGTATTCTTCCTCAGGTGTTCTATCGATTTGTGTTCATTTCTCTTCTAAACTTTTCAAAACAGTTATTTTGTACTATTCTGCTGTCAGTGCTGGATCTAGGGGGGCCACGGGGACTATAGCGCCTAACGATGTCGGGGGCCTCGAAATTACTAAAAAATCGATCCCCGCGAGGTTGCAAATACATTTATAAAGTGTTTGGGTCAATAATCAGGAAGAAATTGCCGATAAAGGTCGTAAACGTTCAAAAAACGTTTAAAATTTACCAAAAATGTCTATTATTTCGGATCTGAAACTTCTAGCATGTTTTTCAATTAGTTCAATGAATTCCTCGCGTCCGTGATCGAAAATGATGTAAAATTTAAGACATTTTGAAAACATTTTCGTTTTTTCAAACAATCGACCCCGACCCCTGGAAAAATTTCGGCAAAAAGTCAAAATGTCACATGCGTGTTTTTTAAGCTCAACCGATTCCTTTCGACGTAAGAATAATAATAATAATAATACTATTGCTTTATTTCAAATCACAAAATGAACACAGAATGAATCACAAAACAAAACAAAATGAAATGACGTCAAAAAGGGCACACAGTTTCACACATCGGGATAAAAGTCTCGTAAACTATAGGGTTCCAAACCTATTACCAGATTTTTAATTTCCGTTCTGAACAATTTTTGGGAGGAAATATCTTTTATTCTGGCTGGAAGACAATTAAACAATTTTATACACATATGCTGGGGACACCTTTCGGTGAGCGATAACCTATGTGTCATACAACCGATATCCAATGCTCTGGTGCTATACTTGTGTTTTTGTCTAATGTAAAAAAGGTTCTTGTTTCTAAATAAGAACATTAGACATTTGTATATATAGACTGTAAACCGTGATTATCTTGAAGGTCTTAAAGACCGATCTACAACTTTGCAAGTAACTCATTTTCTTTATAATTCTTTTGTGAATGACAAAAATACGCGGGATCATACAGTCTTTCCCCCAAAATATAGTACTATATTTAAGGACAGATACAAAATTCGCAAATTACAATATCCTAAGTGAGTTTTCGTTTATGTACTTACTAACAACCCTACTGCCATAACAAATGGAGTTTAGTTTTTTACTTAAATTGTTTATATGGACTGACCCACCAAGATGTTCATTTATGTGAATGCCTAAAAATTTTTCATTTTCCATTATATTTACTTCCTTCTTACCAAGCTCCATATGTAACGGCCCTATTACTTTATTCTGTCTTGTTCGAAACAGCAGTACATTCGTTTTATATTTATTTAGAATAAGTTTATTTGGTACGAACTGTAACTAAATTAAAGAATTTCTCGGCCGTTAAAGTTAGGTCTTGCAGATTTTTACATCCAATGATTAAATTTGTGTCGTCGGCGTAGTTTACCATATGTTGGCTAGAAGTAGAAGGTCGCAAATATGCATTAATAAAGTTTGGGTCAATAATAAGCAAGAAATCGTCTGCTGAAAATCGTAAACTCTCAAAAAACGCTTAAAATATGCCGAAAATGTCTATTATTTCGGAACCGAAACTTCTAGCAGGTTTTTCAATGAGTTCCATGAATTCCTCGCGTCCGTGAGCTGAAAATGATGTAAAATACAAGACATTTTTTCAATAAATTGACCCCCACCTTTGAAAAAATTTCCAAAGAAGGTCACAAAAATGCATTTATAAAGTGGTTGGGTTAATAATAAGGAAGAAATCGTCGGTTAAAGATCGTGACCGCTCAAAAAACGCTTAAAATGTTTTTCAATGAGTTCGATGTTTTAATTAAATCAATTAAACCCACACGCCACCCATAATTGGTTTTCTTTGGATGTTACGAATCCGCGGTCTGCTCCCATGTTTATTTTTACATCAACGTCTTGAATCTTCATGTGCGAAAAAGTTTACTGAATTTTTATGTTTAAAAATGTGTTGGACCAACGCTCAACATACTGTTTTCATAGTAATCAAGAACTTCGCGATTATGGAATCTTAGACTTATTTTGCTTTACTCTTTAGATACTTAATTAATTTGGTTTGATTTTCAGTGCATTTTACTTCGCTTTTAACACCTCATTTAACAGTTCTATTTAGCGCATTCAGCGAATATTTGATCATCCGTGTGCTTAATTGCAATTGCAGTACGCTGTTATGTACGTTAGTTATCCATAAGTAAATCTTGTTTCAAAAACCCGCTTTTATGGCGCATGCGATCACGTTCTGTTCTCTATATCTGTATCTTCTCTATATTATATTTGACTTCAGTACTTTTTATTCCACTTTGATCTGTATGCTGTCTTTTGAGCCGCCTGTTAATTTTCAAAACGCGTGCACCTAGAATGTATAGATAGCGTGTCTATCGTTTGAAAAAAATATTTGAAGAAATTGTCTCTTTTGTATGGATGGTAGTGCATATTAAAACCAATATATTTGCTTTAGAACTTTGACATTAAAGACGAGAAAGAGGAAAAACCCATTTCAACGGAGCCGGAGGCTCTAGACGTTCAAGATAAGCCAAAAGCGGCGGTGAATGAAAAGCGACCGGGCCCCAGCACTAGCAAAGGAAATGCGACTAGGAAAGATAAAAAAGATGACTCAAAAAAAGAAAAAGATGATGATAAACAAGATATTGACTCGGAGCTTGATGACCCGGTTATTAAGGAACTATTTTCCGGCCTTGATGGGGCTGCTTTTCAAAGCAGGATGCCTTTCGACAAATTGACTTCAACAGAGGCTGCAAGTTTTCCTGGTTAGGGTTTTACAGTATTCACAAATCTGAATTCAAACTTTCTCTGAAAACGGTTGATTTTTTGATACATTATAGTCTGAACATAAACAACGACTTTAAACTTTATTTATTGCATTTTGCAATGACTCAAAGTTTTTATTTATACTTAAACTAACTCGATGATGAAATTTATGAAAAATGTTGAAAATGTGCAATTAGCACAAAAAAATTCACCAAAAGTACAATTAATCTGTTATAACCACTGTTCACCTTTCAACGTTTTATTTTATTTTTCTTAATATTTCTGTTCTCTTCAACAACTTACATTCATTTAATTCATATCATTGTGTAACCGGTGATATGAGTTGTTATTGCAGATATTGCCAGTGCAGCTCTACAAACAATTAAAGTCTACTTGAATATACGAAACCGAATACTCCAAATGTGGCTGAATAATCCAAAACAACAGTTGATTTTGGACAATGTCATTGAAAATATGGAGCCCCCCTTCAATAGTGACCTGCCGCTGCTCAAGAGAATTCACGCGTTTTTAGAGAGGAACGGATTTATTAACTTTGGGATTTTTAAAAGGTACTTAACCAAAAAAAAAAACAGGGGCGAAGTTGCAAAAGTCCAGATTTATTTTCAGATTGCAACCAATTCCCAGCAAAAAATATGGCAAAGTTATTGTGATTGGGGCAGGCATCGCTGGACTGGCAGCAGCTCAACAACTTCAACAGTTCGGCTTGGAAGTTATCGTTTTGGAATCTCGAGACCGAGTTGGTGGACGGATCGCTACTTTTAGAAAAGGCAACTTTTGACTATAACCGCTATAATTTGATAATGGCCTTGCGTGAAAATCGTGATCAATTTATTTGTTTTAGGGGACTACATTGCGGACCTGGGCGCTATGGTGGTAACTGGCCTTGGAGGCAATCCAGTAACAACGCTAAGCAAGCAGATTGATATGGAGCTGCATAGGATTAGGCAAAAATGCCCCCTGTATCAGTCCTGTGGCATTACAGTCGATAAGGATAAAGATGAAATGGTCGAGAGAGAATTCAATAGGTATTATTACAGACTCAAGATCAACCTCAATCACCTACTGATCCAAGCGTATTCGCTTTGTAGATGTTTCCAATCTCGTTCCTTAAATGTTGGAAGGTTTTCGCTTGAATTCAAGGGGCCGTAATCGGGTTGGTTTCACATGAAAGTACAACAAAAACACATTGATTGAGTAAAACTTTGCAAATACATAAATCCCTTATCAGGATATTTTCTTCTTGAAACAGTCCAACTTAAGATTGTAGCTCGAAACTTTAGACGGCTGAAATCTTGGAAATGTCAAGAGAAAAGCTTAATTTTCACAGAAAAAGGACGCTAATTTGTTAAAAGACGTGTAATTTCATTTTAAAGAAGTCCATTTAGTCCAAAAGACGCTCGCCGTTCTTGTAGTGTCGGTAATCAACCAGAGCTAGTAGAAATCCTCCTAGTAGAAAATCCTACATATAGGGTGGATTTTAAGTGCGATAGAGTCAATTATTTCCGATGGTGTTAAACTTTCGAAAAATTGTTTCATATAAAAGTTGTTGACGCAAAGTGCGCACATTTTAAAAATCAATCACCACAGATCCGTTAAGAATTCTATTGAACCAAAATATTAATACATTGCACAGGGTGTTAACAATGTGGACTTCAATCTAAAACTTTTTAACGCAATATAGCTTTTGTTTTTCAAATGGAAGTACGTGTATATTAATACGTCAATAGATAGACATTAATACGTCAATAGACAACAAAGTTACAAATGTGCATTTACACTTTAAGCTGTGAAATCAACCGTTTTCAAATCATAATTTATTTTATTTAAAAATTTCAAAAAATTGCTACATTTTGTAAGGTGGCTATGGAAGTCAATAAATAAGTATCAAAATTTGAATTGCCACGTTCAATTGATCATTCACCTAATTATATCAAGGAAAAAATGTGGTATATACTTGATGGAGCTCCAGTTCACCATACAGCTCAAATTCATGAGTACCTAAATAATTAATTTTCTGAGAGGTGGATCGGTTTAGTGGCCACCTCGTTCACCTGATTTGACAAAAATGGATTTCTTTTAATGGGCTTACGTCAAAAACGAAAATATAAAATAACTCCAACTACAAAAGATGACATGAAGAAACGAATCACAATTGTTTTTCGAAGCATCAATAATATTGTTTTGAACTGCGTTAGCGATTCATTTCAAAAACGTAGATATTAATAGTTGCTTAAATGTCAACGGAAATCTATATTGAACATTTATTTTAAAATATCACTGTAGGTATAATTTTATATTTTATAGACGTATGCAGTTTTATTGCATTTTTTGCTATGAAATTCCAAGTATTTTATAAGACGTTGCACTTTTCGTCACGTGATTATGGCACGTATTTTGACATTTATGTAATTAATTCCATAGCCACCTTACAAAATGTAGCAATTTTTTGAAATTTTTAAATAAAATAATTGATAATTTGAAAACGGTTGATTTCACAGCTTAAAGTGTAAATGCAAATTTGTAGCTTTGTAAATTGTCTATCTAATGACGTTGTTAACACCCTGTCTCAGAAAAGCGAGGCAAGATCAAAGTTTATTTTTTTAAATAGAACTACCCATTTTTTATTAGCTCATGGAATGCAGCTTGAAACGCTGCATATGCACCGTAAATTGTTTTTTTCTTACTTGCGACGTTGGCAGATTATCGCCATTTTAGTAAAATTTAGCTTAAAAACATGGTATCTAAAAATTCATTGAAGAAGAAAAAAAAGCAGTTAAAAATACAAAAAAATACGACTTCCCAATCACCACAGATTCGTTAAGAATGCTATTGAACCAAAATATCAATACAATGTACAATATTGTACAGACTGTTAACAATGTGGACTTAAATCTAAAACTTTTTAATGCAATATAACTTTTGTTTTTCAAATGGAAGTACCTGTATATTAGTACGTCATGAGATAGACAATTTACAAAGTTACAAATTTGCGTTTACACTTTAAGCTGTGAAATCAGCCGTTTTCAAATTATAATTTATTTTATTTAAACATTTCAAAAAGTTGTTACATTTTGTAAAGTGGCTCTGGAATTCAAAAAATACGTGTCAAAATTTGATGATTATTGACATATCAATCTTGACATATCGATTTACATTTAGTATATGACGACTAGTTTAAAAGTCAGCCATATTATTAAAAAACTCTTAAACAAATATGAATTTTTCTAAAGAATAATTAGTGGATATAGTGTTTATACTAGGTGCTAGTGATAAAAACTGTACGCTCGCTACGCGACTTTATTATCAACATTTTCCTGAAAGAAGAGAACCGCATAAAAAGGAGAGAACGAACGAAAGAAGAGAACCGCAGGCCAATGAATTGGCAGTTTGATTAAAAGTAACTGAAAATCCTCATTCGTCCCAGAGAATGATTGCTAATGAAACAGATATCGGCCGATCTACTATACAAAAAATATTGGTAAAAATAAAATTCATCCATATCACATGTTCTGTATAGAGTTAGATGTTGTGAATGGGCCAGGCGCAAAATTGGGGAAGACAGATATTTTTTTAATTATGCATTATTTGCTGGTGAAGCAACTTTTTATAAAAATGAAATTGTTAATAGACATAATTTCCATATATATATAAATAATCTTTATTTCCTATAGAAAAAGGCTATCGACCCAATCGGTCATTCTGCCCTTGTGTAGTACATATGTATCTTAGCCTAGCTTATCCTAAAATTAATTCCTATTCCTAACACTCGTATCAACTAATCAGTAATAAAAAAAGAAAATTCTTGGCTTCCAAAACAAACAGGTCTTAGTCGTTAGTTCAGTTGCGTTTGTAGGTGTTCTAGTAAAGTATCTGTTGGGGAACGAAGACGGGAATGTTTTGTCTGTCTTGTTAGGCAAAGGGGATTCAGTATGGTTAAGTTGTGGGGGTTGTTTGTCCATTTTGTCTGTAAGTGTATTAGTCTCCGAAATTTTTGTCATGTTTGTGCGTTCGTATAGCAGTTGGTTGGAAGGGTTGTGCAGTGGGTTTTGGGGGTGTCTTATTCGTGTTATTAGTCTTAGTGCAATTTGTTCTGTTGTTTGTACGTATCGTTTTGTCCTTTCTGTTCCGTCGGCCATGAGTATATGTCCGTAGTCCAAGAGGGGTCTGCAGATCGCTTTGTATATTTTTGTCGCGGTATCTGTACTAATTCCTTTGTTTTTGTATGTTAGTGAGCGAAAGTGTTTTGTTCTTTTTATCGTTTCTGTTCTGATGTTTCGTATGTGTTTAGTAAATTTAAGTTTCTGGTCAATTGTAATTCCAAGGTATTTTACGTAGTTTTTTGGTTCTGTCGTTTGGCCGTCTGCAGTTATTGTAGGGGAGTCAGCGTTGAGTCTGTGGTTTGTAAGCAGAAGTTGATTTTTTGAAGCGTTTGGTGTTAGTCTCCATTTATAGAACCATGTCATTGTGTTGTTTGTTAGTGTTTGAAATCTTTGAGCTGATTTCTCAGTAGTTTTCTCATGTACAATATGTGCTGTGTCGTCTGCGTATTGTAATATGTAAGCCGTGTTGTCTATTTTATTTTTGTCCTGCTTGTTGGGGTTGTATATGTCGTGACAGTATATGTTATAAAGGAACGGCGAGAGAGGTGATCCTTGCGGTAGTCCTTGTTCAGGGCGGAAAGAAAAGGAGAGTGTGTTGTCTATGCGAACTTGCAGTTGTCTATTTTCCAGTATATTTCTATTTGTGTATAGTAAATATTTTGGTGTATTAAGTCTATGCAGTTTGTATAGTAGTTTGTGCCAGACACTGTCGAAAGCTTTGTTGATGTCCATGAACAGACACGCTGTCTTGTTCCCGTTGCGGTGTGTTGCTTGTATGTTGTTGGTTAAGACGAAAAGTGGGTATATAGTCGAATGCTTTGTTTTACATCCAAATTGATACGGTGGTATGTATTGTCCAATTTTATCTTAAAGTATGTTTTTAATACTGAGTTCGAACATTTTACTTATTACCGGGGGTAGTGTGATGGGTCTAAAGTTTTGTGTTTGTGTGTTGTCAAGTCCATTTTTGGGGATAGGTATTATTATGCCAGTTTTCCAGGCGTCAGGTATGGTGTTTTATTGGATGCAATTGTTGAGTAGGTCTAGTATAAGCTTGTGGGTCTGAGGAGTTAAGTTTTTCAGCATTTTGCTTTTACTTTTTTCATTTCCAGGTGCAGTGTTTTTCAGATGAGCAAGCGCTTCTTCGTACCCATTGTCAAAAATTCGGGGAAATGTGTCGCTGGTATCCGTCAAAGAATTTGTCGTACCAGTCGTTTAATAGAGTCCAGATTTCGTCGTCAAAGTTAGGGTTAGTTGACATTTTAAAAGCCCTCTGGAAGTGTCTGGCGAATGCGTTGGCTTTGTCCTGGTCGGTGTCTTGTTCTGTGCCATTTTCGTTAATGATGCCGATCGGGTTGGTTTTTTTGTATCGAGATTGTTTTTTTTTTATTTTTTGCCAGTATGTTTTTCCGTTGTCATGTTCTATTTCCTGGCATGCCTCCAGTCATTGGTCTTGTCTGTATTGGTTTATTAATATCTTCACGTTTCTGTTAAGTTCGTTAAGTTTCGTCTTTAATTCCTTTTCTTGTGTGTGCGTATATAGTCTGTACAGTTCTCGCTTTCGTTTAATTGGTCTCAGTATAAATTTTGGTAAAGTATGTTGGTAAAATGTGTTCTTATTTGAGGAGAAAAATTTTCTATTGCCGATGTCAGTTGTTCTTGTCAATTTTCTATAGAAGGTGTAATTGTCTGCAGTTGAATGTATTCGTGTATTTGTCGTTGGACTTTTCCTATATCTGTTTTGTTTAAGTCAAGTTTTTTTACATTCCCTTTTGTACTAACTATAGGTTGCTTTTGCTGGATGTTAATTTCAAACGTTATGGCCAGATGGTCGGATTCAAGTTCATTTGTTAGATTAACGTTGTTTATAATATTCGTGAGGTTTGCTGTGTGGAGTAATACGTCCGGTGTCGAGTCTTAGTTCTGTGGCATCAGAAATGTTGGTGGGGTTTGTTTTTTAATAAAGTCTGAATTGCCTAGAAACCTGTTTAACTGTATTTTCTTGTTTCTGTTCATGTTTAAGGTGTCCAATGATTATAGAATACCTGTAGAGACATGCTTTAGTCAGTATGTTTTGTTCGATGTCTGAGTGGGGATGTATATATACGAGGAATATATGAATATAGTCGTTTATGTAAGGTGTAGTGAAGTGAAGACAGTCATTTAAGGGGTTATTAAGAGAAGGAGGGTTTGCCTAATTTGATTTTTCGTTTTAAAAATGTTATTGCTCCCCCTCTGGCATTGCTAATGGTGTTGCCGTGCCTGCAGATGAACTGCCAGTCTCTCTACCTCGGTGTTTGTCCTATTTTAGTTTTGGTTTCCACAAACATACAACCGTCCGTCTCGTTTTGTTCTATATAGTTGTAAATAAGATGTTTTGTAGTAAAGTAACTGAAAATCCTCATTCGTCCCAGAGAATGATTGCTAATGAAACAGATATCGGCAGATCCACTATACAAAAAATATTGGTAAAAAATAAAATTCATCCATATCACATCTAGTTAATGCAGGAACTTAACAACCAGGACTATGTAACTATATAGAGTTAGATGTTGTGAATGGGTCAGGCGCAAAATTGGGGAAGGCAGATGTTTTTTTAATTATGTATTATTTTCTGGTGAAACAACTTTTCATAAAAATGGAATTGTTAATAGACATAATTTCCATTATTATGAAAATACCAAGCTTTATTTTATAAGAACAAATAGTCAAACCCGTTGGTCATTGAATACTTGAAGTGGTATTATCGGAAATTATTTATAATGGGCCTTGCGTTTTCTATGGAAGAGTAACTGGAAGAATTTATTTAAATTTTTTACAAAATGAATTGCCACGGTTAATTGATCATTAACCTAATTATATCAAGGAAACAACTTAAAAACCACCCTGTACATGCAAGGTATTTTTCGAAAATTTTACCACAACTTGCAAATTTTCTAGTACAGAGTATAGTAGTCTAAGTAGCGCTGATTTTTCAAAAATTCTCAATGTCGGGGGTTTGTCCAAAATTCGTAATGACAAAAATGCAGCATCTAAAGGTAAAAAAGGTACCAACCTTTTTTTAGTGTTGGAAAACTGCAGTAATTATGCTTTTATCCATTTATATTTGAACCTGCTTAGCATCAAAATTAGCTTGCAAAGTTTTACTCTTTCACTGTTGACAGAATCAATTTCAACGCGTAAGTTTTTATCTTCATGGTAAATAATGGACGAATATTAATGCTACCACTATATTCAATAAATAATTTCATCATCATTATTCCTCTAATCAACTGTAAGCTTCTTCTCGTCTAATAATTGCTTTTCAATTTCGCCACAAAATTAGCATTGATGTTGTATTCTTCTAATGTACGTTTTTTATTTCAGACTGCTTGAGGCAACATCATACCTCTCGCATCAGCTGGATTTTAACTATGCTGGAAACAAGCCCGTAAGTCTGGGACAAGCATTGGAATGGGTCATCAAACTTCAAGAGAAACATGTGAAGGAAAAGCAAATCAATCATCTGAAGTCGGTGATTGAGCTTCAAGTAAATATTCCGGATAATTTGTTGTGGAACACTGCTGCATTTTTAACGTCGCTCGTTTTCCGTTCTAGGACAAACTGAAGGAAAATCACAATTCCCGTATACGCATTAAGGAATCCATGCAAGAAATTCATGTCAAATTTAAAGAACTGTCTGATCTTGACGACAAAAGGGATTTGGATCAGGAGTTTGAGTTCAGGAGCGGTCGAAGGTAAGAAAAATATAGGAATAAACTTTTTAGATATATTTTGCCGATAATTTGTTTTTTTCGGTACTAGAGTTTTGTGATTTTGAGCGTTTTTCGATTAGAACTTTCAGTTTATTTGCCCAGAAATTTGCTCCTGCACTATTATTCTGAATACGGCTTTAGTCAATTTCTCACATTAGAAACCACATTTTATTACGCCCAATCGATAAATAATTTTCTCCTTTATACAATTAATTTTTTTTATTTTGAAATAAACTAATTGTACTTCCTTTAAAGGTATCTCCATATAAAGTTCTCCAAATGTTTGCAAAAATGAACAATCTCAAGAGTCCTTAATTCGATATTTTTTCTCCTTCTAGGGACCTGAATGCTCTAGCTAGAGAATGGGATGAACTCAAAGTGGAGGAAAAAGATATTGAGGCCAAATTGGCCGAGTTAGAAGCGTCACCACCAAGGTATGTATTATTACTTTTGTGCCTAATTAGGTAAAGCAGGAACAAATTAGAGCTCAAGTTTTCCATATGAAAATAGATATTTTTTATTTTATTTTTGGTCTAAAAATTTAATGTTACTGTTTAATTATTTGAACATTTATTAACTCGCGCTGAGTAGTAAATTTATTGTACAAAATCTCCCTGTATACCTATTTAATATTTGCTTTACCAGAAGGGTTATTTGTTGCGTTTTCGAAATGTAAGTAAGAATCACGCCTTGTTTGACGGCTCTTACCATCCCAAACACGACCTTTTTAATAAATATAGTACATTTTCAGACTGTTCAATCGGACAGCAAAGTTAAATCAACATTCATTGGCCGCATACCAATACAGGGTCCGTCTTTGGGAGCTTACACTAGAAGTATTCGCCAAACCAAAATTACCAGAGTTCTGAATATTTCAATACAAGGTAACGATGTTGGGGCTAACTCATCTAAAATATTTTTAAGGCGGTACCACTTCCGGTTATACCGAAAGTAGGTACTTACTCGTTTCTTTTAAATGGAATAATGTATTATTACATTTTTGGGTTCACTGTCGGATGTTTGGGTCATTTTGTTAAATGAACTGGGTACGAAATTTCAACCGTTGTGGAATAATATCCATTTTTCCAAAAAAATTGACGGGTGCAGGCTTGGAAATAATTCGTTGTTTTTAGAAACTTCTTTTTGGGTATTTCGCATCAAAAATTTGACAGAATTTCCTCATGTCTTTTATTACATATTGATAAATAGTGCTCCTATTTCGCAATAAGAACGAATTATTTATCAAAAAGTAATCAAGAACTATCACCTAGAGGGTATC